AGGGGGGGGAGGGGAGGGGAGCAAGCTAGGCCATAAGGCGGGCATGGTAGTGCATGCCCGTACCCGTAATTCTACCCTTCAGAAGGCTCAAGCAAGAAGACCACAAATAGTTTGAGGTCAGCCTGAACAAAATCCTGTCTCAAAATAAGAAAAGGAGGAGGATTAAGAGGAGAAGGAGGAGGAGGGAGAGGAGGAACTGATTTACAATTCTGACAGTCTCTCATAGTGTATATGTATGCATGTGCATTTTGTCTACATCATGGTATGGTTTAACACATTCTTCTAGGTTTCCTATTAATTGACATCTGATTTAGAGTGGTTGTTCTCAATCTTCAGTGGGCATTGTTTCCACTGAACAGATTGCTGGTCCTGCTCTGACAGTTGCTGATTCTGAGCTGGGTAAGACTCCAAATTTTGCATTTCTAGGAAGTTTCCTTGAGTTGCAGGTCGCACCTTGCAAACCGGTAGAGTAAGCTAGACCTGGGCTCAGTCAGATTCAAGTCTGAAAAAAGATATGTCGGTGGAAATACAGCTGTACACAACACTGCCCTGACGCTGACAGCTGGATGGATCAACAGAACTAACTGCCTTTTGACGATACAGCTGAGGCATCAATTCAGATGTAATACCAAACAAGAAAGGCCACTGTGCTCAGGGTGTGACGTGTGTCTGAAACTAAGAGCTGTTACTTGGTACTGTGGCACCCAAGCAAGGAGAGAACCAATGAGGGTTTTTCTTCCCAGCCTCCATGCCGCCAGTGTCCTTTCTTAACGTCACTACTCTCTGGAAGCTGTCTGCTTCATGTTCATATTTCCTTTCTTCATCCAAAGGGCTTAATCATGTCATGAATATATGGGTCTATCTATTTTTTTTTTCTGTCAGTCGTGGGGCCTGAACTCCGGGCCTGGGCGCTGTCCCTCAGCTCTTCAGCTCAAGGCTAGCACTCTACCACTTGAGCCACAGCGCCACTTCCAGCTTTTTGGTAGTTAATTGGAGATAAGAGTTTCATGGGCTTTCCTGCCCAGGCTAGGTTCAAACCTCCATCCTCAGCTCTCAGCCTCCTGAGTAGCTAAGATTACAGGTATGAGTACAGGTATGCCTGGCTCATGCCACGATCTTAAACCAACACATACTTTCAAACTAAAAGCTCCGGTTAATGAGGTGGCTCTGTCCTGCTGTTCCATGGCCTAAGCACCATAAAGAAACAAAGTCTCTAGTGCTCAGTGCTTCTCTGTCTTTCTGTTGCAGATGGAGAAAAGAGGCCAGGATGTGCTCGGCCTGGACCACCAAGCAGCCGTACTTTCCACAGCATTTTGTGTTTGCCAAGCCCTCACCGGGAGGGTGTGGGGCCTCTGCCTTGAACCTTGCCAAGTGACGTAGACTCCTGTGGGCCCCTATGTACTTCCTGTGTGGGGCTCAGAAACCCGCCTCCCGGCCCTGACTCAGGTGTCTGCTTCAGACAATGGTGAGTCTCCTCTTACAGAAAGCCCCCCTTTTCTTCCCAGCCTTGGAAACGCTGGGTCCTAGGTCCTTAGATCCGGTGGCTATTTTGAAAATGTTGTTGTCTGGTTTCCTTTACAGAAGCGCTAGGCCGACTCATCTCCGCCATCTTAGCAGAGCGGGAGAAGGATGCAGTGGAGCATTTCCTGGAGCATCGTGGGCCTCTGCCTCCTAGCAGGTGAGTAGGATGGAAGGAAGAAAGGGCAGGTTTCCCCAGGCCCCTAGACGGCTCACAGCCTCACCTGGAACAACCAGACAAGATACCAAAGACCCTCACACACCAGGAGAGGAAAGGAACTGTTTGTGCTTGAAGGGGATGGAGGATTAGAGCAGGAGGAAACAAAACAACAAAAGCCACGGTACCAGGGTACCATTCCAGGAGCAGCCAATGAAGGGAAATTGGGATGATCATATCAATTCAGAACAGAGGTCTCTCTGCCAGCAAGAGCAAGCTTGTCTGGCAGTAAGCTAACCCAATCTTAAGAACTAACACAGAGAGATTAGCAGAGCCAGTGTTTGGAGGAGACAGATTGTTGAACCTGAACTCTGCCCAGGGTGTAGCAAATTTAGTATCTAATGTTCAGTCCTTCTGGTGGGGACCAAGAACTTTCAATGAGTTCAGTCCTTCTTGAAGAGAGGTAGGATCTAAAAATGATAACTATCCAAGGATATTGGCATAGCATGGGTGAGATAAATGATGCAAAGAAGCGTTGTCATTTATTCTTTGTATGTGTTCAGTGATTGAGCCCTTACTGCTGTTAGGAAAACGGAGGAGAATGGAAAAGAAATAGGCCGAACTCAGTAGGTGTTTATTGCCAGCAAAGGCACAGAGCTTCCCATGGGTCTGGAAGTTGTGTGAGGGACTGGATTGGGAGTGAGCTTATATAGGTCCTCACATGGAAGCAGAAAAATAAAACAAGAGCTACGGTCTCTTGGAGGCCAAGGGCAGTGTCCTGGACCAGGCCCAGAGTGGAATGCTCACCTGGGGTGAAGGGCTGTGGTCTCCTGGGGGCCAAGGTCAGAATGACCTTCCTGCAGACAAGCACGTGAGCATGCACCTGGTGCTTTGCTTGACCTGGGGAATTAGGCAGGAGTCAACCCTTCCATTGCTGCCCATTTACAGATGAAATGAGGAGTTAAATAGTTTCTTTCAAATCATGCTGTTAGTAAGTGCTGAAGCTGACAAAGAAAACCAGAACTGTGTCTATTCATGCCTGGGCTTGGGACAACTGCACTAACTAAGGCAAAATGGCTCATGATGCTTTTATATCAAAGTCCCAGACGATGCAATTGTAGCCGGAACTCCCATGTCACAGCAGCCGCCATGATGTCTCCACTTCCTGCTTCATTGCCAACTTCTCACACACACAACACCCACCCACCCCTGTTAAAATGAAGTCTCTTTCAGGAGATTCCCTCTGGGTTTTGTTTGTCTTTGATACAGGGTTTTACTGTGTAACCTTGGCTGTCCTTGAATTCCAGTTTCCTCTGTCTCAGACTCTCAAGTGCTAGGATTACAGGCATGTGCCACCACACTCTGTAAGATTCTATATTTGTAATATGCTCCAAGCTTATTTACCTGTGACTAGTCCAAAGAACACACTTCTAGAAATATGGCATCATGAAAATGTGCCCAGTCTGTCTGGGGATGGGAGAATGTCTCATCTACTATAGAGGCTGTTGGTAAACATCAAAATCTCAGGCAATGAGGGGAAACTGATCACTGTCATGAATCGAAGTTATTGTTGACCCAGAAGACCCAGGATAAATGCCTTCAGTTCTCAATACCCAGACTCTAGTTGATGAGCAATTGGGGTTTCAGATATTTTCTCCTCTGACTCAAGCAGAAAACAAATGGAAAAATTGAGCCATTTGACAGAGACAGAACAAGAACGTCAGCATTTGTATGCAACCAAGAACTTGTTTCTCTTCCTCAGTCAGAGACAACTTTTCAAAATGGAAACTGGTTTATAAAACTCATTTATGCTTTCTGTAGTCACCTTAAAAGCTGCCTCAACTTTTTCTAAGTTTTATTTGTTGAATAGCATGTGTTCCGTGTTCTAGGCTAGACGTTTCCTTATTCTGTTTCTTCCTGAAATGAATCCAAATTCATGGTCAAGACCCAGTAGTAAAAGTCACTTTCTTTTCTTTTTTCTTCTTTTTTCCCTTTGGGGGTGGGAGTTCGCTAGTGCTGGAGTCTGAACATCTGTCCCTTAGCTTTTTTCTCTCAATGCTGCAGCTTTACCACTTAAACCACACCTCCCTTCTGGCTGATCAATGGGAATGTATTTCACACCCTTTTCTGCTGGGGGATGGGGGAACTTCAAATAGCAATCCTCAGATCTCAGGCTCCTGAGTGGATAGGATCACAGGCACAAGCCACTGATGCCCAGTTTAAACATCACTTTTTAATTTTTTTTCTGTTTTTTTCTTTTTATTATTACCTTTCAGTAGCTGTTCAAAGGAATTGCCGTTTAACAAAGCAGTTTATGAATACAATATGTCTTGCTCAAGGGAACCCCTTTCAACATTGTCACTTGTCCTTCTTTTACCCACCCCTTCCCTCACTCTGAGGGAAGGACTTGAGATATTCGATAATGCGTGAGTGTTGCAGGCATTAACAATATGTACTAACTCTATTGTTCTTCTCTATTTTCCAGTTGGCACTTGGGGACAGGAAGGTAAGATATGCTTTCTTTCTTTGTTAAGAAACCAACATTCTTGGCACAGTCACATGCCGAGTAACAATGTTTCTGTCAACTAAGGCTGGATAAACAGCAGTGGTCCTCATAGGATTTTAATGGAGCAGAACATTTTGTATCACCAACTACTTTCATTGTATCTTTTCTATGCTGAGATACACAAATCCTCACCATTGTGTTACAACTGCCTACCTATTCAGGTTACCCTGTAGGGCGTCGGTGTGCGGAAAGCTCTGTTCTACCACCTAGGTCACACTATAGCAGTCACACAAGGGGCAGACGGCCTCAGAACTGCATTTGTGAATGAAGTTTCTCTGGGCCTCCCACTGCACTTCCCCAGAGACCAGTAAGAGACTTCTGCCTTGGTCCTTTGCTCTTTCATCAGAAATCCAGCCCCAAAGAGGGAATCAACAGAGACCTCAGGAAACACCAAGTCTTAATAAGAAAACTGGAGACTATTGGCAAGTTGATAATACCAACAGTTTTCATTTACCATTTGGTGTGTCATTACCATTTTTGGTCAGTTGTGGGCCTTGTACTCTGAGCCTGAGCACTGACTCTCAGCTCTTCAGCTCAAGGCTAGTGCTCTACCACTTGAGCCACAGCACCACTTCCCGTTTTCTGAGTGGTTTGCTGGAGATAAGAGTCTCATAGACCCCAGGCACCAGGGGCTCATGCCTGTCATCCTAGCTACTCAGGAGGCTGAGATCTGAGGATCACGGTCCAAAGTCAGCCCAGGCAGGAAAGGCCATGAGACTCTTATCTCCAATAAACCACAGAAAACCGGAAGTGGTGCTGTGGCTCAAGTGGTGGAGCACTAGCCTTGAGCTGAAGAGCGCAGGGACAGAGCCCAGGCCCTGAGTTCAAGCCCTATGGCTGACAAAAAAATAAAATAAAAGAGTCTCACAGACTTTCCTTCCCTGGGCTTCTGTAGAGGGTGTGTGGCCATCTAGAATGCACTCGTTCTGGCGTCCTTGAGTGATTCCCAGGCAGCTTTGGGATGCAGGTCAAAATCAAGTGTCCGAGCATTCTGAATGTGCGCATTCATGTGTACACATGCCCCAGCTTGATTTACTCAGGCACAGAGGAGCAGTAGACCCTGGAGTTACCCCATTCTGGAAGCTTCTCTGTCCACTCAGCCACTGCAAACTGAAGGAACCCATGTTGTGGAAAATAGCCACTTCCTGCCACACAACCAAACATGTGGCGCCCCAGCAGCCACTTCTGCACACAGCCATCAGATAGTTAATGAAGAGCATCTCATCCCATGCAGCCAAGGAAACATGAAGATCCATTGTTTTCTAACGCTGGAGGGAAGGGTCCTAACCAGATGGGGCAGGACTCAAACTCACCTGCTAATGGGAAGGTGGCTAATGGCTTTTTATCACTTCTTTTGCAGACCCTGAAGAAAGTGGTAAGAGACTTTTCATTCTATACAACCTTTTCCAGTGTGGGACAAGATGGCCCTGGGGAAAATCCCAGTAGTGAACACTAAGAACCAGAACTAAGAGATGGGAAATCCACTCATCTTCCAAAAGACTCTATAGGAGAGGGGCCTAGATTTGTTGCTAGCCCTCATGTCTGACCATGGCTATGCACGTATGTATCCCTTGTTGTCAGGGAAAAACACACAAGTGCGGGGGGGCCGGTGCATCCATGTGTTTTTGTATAAACTATGAGTTCTTTAAAGGTAGAAATGGTATCTATTTTCCCTGGTGCCCAGTCTGGTCCATACTAGAGATTCAATGAATATTTTGTTGAATGACTCCTTCTCCACAGAAATGATCTTGTCTGCTTGGCAATATAGTGTGTTGATGGGACTAGATGCGATGATGGGAATGAATGCAGAATAAAGTGAAGTATAAAGTGGGGGAAGATGGCAGTTCTCTAGGCTGTTGTGAAAGGCTTCTGGGGGAGGAGCTGGGATTCCTGAGCTGAGGATCCTAGAATTCGCTTGTACTTTAGGGGAGAGGAATCTTTTAGGCAGAGAAGATGAGTCTAACACTGAGGTTGAGGTACAGTGTTTGAATCCTGCCTCAATGCCCTACTTGCTGAATTAAATTTTTCTGTATCATTCCATCATCCTGTGTAAAACAAATCAGGATTTAATGAGCAACGCAGCGAGGTCTTTAGAACATTATCTGATGTACAGAAGGCAGGAGGTGGAACCTAGCTGTTGTTATATACACAACACATTGACTAAAGAGGGTAAGCATTAAAGTCTATCGAACATGCATCTTACTTGAATTTCCTCATCTATTTCTTCTAACACCCTGATTCTACAGATTAGAGGATAATTAATTCCAATCATAGAGGATTAATGCAGATTTACATGATACTAATATGCAAATGAGATTGCTTACATCCTAATCATTAGGAAATGCCAGGGATGTGTGTAAACCCTGTGGGAACACATCCATTTCTAAGTATAGACATTGAGGCCCTTGTAGAAACATGAATATCTAAGCTCTGCTAATGTACCGTGCCAGTCAAAGTCATCAGCAATTTTGTTTACACTTATTGGCTTTCCAGAAAGACCTACCAAGTAGAGTATAATGCCTGTTTACTTTTAGCTTTGTCTGATTTATGGTTTCTGGGTTCGTGCAACATTTCTAAAAAAAAAATCCTGCAAAACATTAAGCCCACGTAATACGCATCATCCTTACATCAACTCCCAGTCGCTGGCAAGCAGAGATGGCCTTGTTTAAGGTCTGTATTGTCTTAATCAGGTGGCTGCCTGAGCAGCTGGATCCAAGCTCAGTAGTGTTAGCGTTGGCAAAGCCCCAAGAAGGAAAAGAAGCAAGACACTAACGCTCTCCGTGAGCACCTGCTGTGTGTCAGCCCCTGTCCCCCTGAGAACCCGCTTCATTCTCATAAAACCCTGTGAGGTGGGAGTTTTATCTTCTCTTCCAGAGGAAACAAGTTGAGTGTGGAGGTGCTGCACACTTGTGATCCTAGCATTCAGGAGGCTGAGGCAGGAGGATCGAGAGTTCAAGACCAGTCTTAACCACATAGCGAGACCCTGCCTCAATTAATAGATTTTTGTTTTTGAAAGAAGCAGGCTCAGATTAAGTGCTTTGTCCTTGTTCATGCAGCCCAGGGCAAATCCGATTCAAACACAAAACTTTGTGTTCTTTACTCAGTAGTATTCTGTCTCTAAGTATACCCCCCTCCCCTCTCCTGGTTGCTGTGTCCAGACTCTGGCATAGTCCAACACTTCCCAGGGGACCAGCCACAAATGTTTTATGAAATATGGATGGACCACCAACTCCACCTGCAGGACAAAGCTGCCTGCGATGGGAGTGGGTGACCCACTGGTGACCTCCGTGGATTATTAGTGGATTTCAGATGTTCACACCAATGGTCCCTCCAATAACAACAAAAATAATGGAGAGTTTATTATACCCAGAGTTCACGCAAAATGGAGCTGTTTGGTTTTGGTTTTTGTTATTGTTGGTTTGTTGTTGTTGTTGTTGTTATTGTTTGGTTAGAGGGTTATTTTGATTCGGTTTTGTTTTGTTTTGTTTTTCTCAGTCGTGGGGCTTGAACTTAGGACCTGTGCACTTTCCCTGAGCTTTTTCTCTCAAGGCTAGCACTCAACCACTTTGAGCCACACTACCACTTCTGGGTTTATAGGGATTAATTGGAGATAATAGTTCCATGGATTTTCCTGCCCAGACTGGCAGGAATCCTAGCTACCCAGGATGCTGAGATCTGAGGATCATGGTTCAAAGCCAGCCTGGGCAGAAAAGTCAGTGAGACTCTTATCTCCAATTAACCACTAGAAAACCAGAAGTGGCGCTGTGGCTCAAGCGGTAGAGCACTTGCCTTGAGCTGAAGAGTGCAGGGACAGCTCCCAGGCCCTGAGTTCAAGCCCCACGACCAACAAGAAAAAGAAAAAAAAAAAAAGATGTCTGATTTTGATTATGAGGAATTTAGTCAGCAATGAAGGGGACGAACTCTAAGCAATGAGAAGTAGGTAAACCACTTCTCTTCTCTTCTCTCCCATTCCTCAGAGCTTAAAGAATATGAAGTCTCCATCTCGGGAAGCAGGGTAACACTGACCTGTCCTCTGGATCCTGAATCTGGCTCACTAAAATGGGAAAAAAATGATGTAGTATTACCCGATAAGGAAGAGCAACTCATACTGCCATCATTTTCAGAAATGGATGACAGTGGTTACTATGTGTGCTACTTAAGTAACGCAGCAAAGAAACAATACCTCTACCTGAAAGCTAAAGGTAAGGATTTGCCCAAACCAGTGTGCCATCTCCAGGTGTTTCAACGCGCTATCCTTCACTCAGTCTTGGGCTCTGGGGGCCACTCAGTCTTGGGCTCTGTGGGGCCACACAGCATCAGTACTTTCTAGAAAGTTGATTGAGCTGGGCGCTGGTGGCTCACGCCTGTAATCCTAGCTACTCAGGAGGCTGAGATCTGAGGATCACGGTTCAAAGCCAGCCCGGGCAGGAGAGACCGTGAGATTCCTATCTCCAATAAACCACCAGAAAACCGGAAGTGGTGCTGTAGCTCAAGTGGTAGAGCGCTTGCCTTGAGCTGAAGAGCTGAGGGACAGCGCCCAGGCCTGGAGTTCAAGCCCCACGACCGACAAAAAAAAAAAAAAGAAAGTTGATTGAACACCAGCATGGGCTATCTGGATAACCTTAGTCAGTGTTAGGTCTAAAATAAGTTCCTAGCTGGGCGCCAGTGGCTCATGCCTGTCATCCTAGCTACTCAGGTGGCTGAGATCTGAGGATCCGGGTTCAAAGCCAGCCCAGGCAGGAAAGTCCGTGAAACTCTTATCTCTAATAAACCACCAGAAAACTGGAAGTGGCACTGTCGCTCAAGTAGTAGAGCTTTAGCCTTGAGCTGAAGAGCTGAGGACAGTGCTCAGGCCCAGAGTTCAAGCCCCAAGACTGACAAATAAATAAATAAAAATAAATAAAATAAGTTCCTAGCCTGGTACAGTGGTACATGCCTGTAATCCCAGCTACTCAGAAAGTATAGGTGAAAGAATTGAAGTCCACATCTGGTCCAGGCCAAAAAGTGAGATCCTATCCCCCAAAAAGAACTAAGGCAGAAAAAGGTTGAGGGGTGGCTCACATGGTATTAAGGACTGGCTGGCAAGCACAGGGTCCTGAGTTCAAATCCCAGTACTAAAACTCAATTATTAATTAACTAATGCAAATAACTTTCCCTCCGTGACAGGCTTCTGTTATTTTTATTACATCACACCCAGAATTATGTGACACTAGCATCCGTTTATCTGATGTTTTATTCAGAGATACATTCTTCAGGAGGACTTGCCAGGGAGACTCAACGCCACTATTTTTTTAAAAGTCCTAAGAGAGGCATAATAAACCTCAGAGCAACGCGAGCTCACATTAACTCAGTGCTCATGAAGTCTGTGTGGCACTGTACTGAAGTCCCTGCACAGGCCAAGGACTTCACGTCATCCTCCCGATGGCCATGCCGTTGACAGACCATTTTATGCCCACTTTTGTCATTGTTGTAGATGAGGACACAGGGACTTTATGGGTTGGAAACCCAGTTCACAATTCCCCCAACTAGTAAGCAATGGAGCTGAGACTTGAACCCAGAGCAGCTTGGCTCCACCCCCTCTACCCATAACCATAACTTGTTTGCTGTCGCTAGGCAGGGACGAGCACTCGGCAGGGGAGGACTCTGGCATGGCGGGTGTGTACATGTTGAGGGGAGAAGGGGAGACTTGGCCTCACTTGTTCCTTCCTCTTCTCAGTGACTCTTCATTTCTCCCCTCCTGCCCCATCCCATCATCCCCTGCAGTATGCGACAACTGCGTGGAGGTAGACCTGATGGCCTTGGTCACGATCATCATAGTGGACATCTGCGTTACTCTGGGCTTGCTGATGCTGGTCTATTACTGGAGCAAGAACAGAAAGGCCAAGGCCAAACCTGTGACTCGAGGGGCCGGTGCAGGGGGCAGACCCAGGGGTAAGACATAGAACTGGGTCGGAGGATACTCTCGCCAGAGCGCATCCAGCCTCTGCCTAGAAACAGCTTCTCTACAGCATTCACTGGGATACCAAGATCTCACTTCCTCTGCATCCATGAGCTGGCCTCTGCAAACACCTGCCAATTCTGCAGCCATCCAGCTCCACCCCTGCACTGTGGGAAGAGACTGGGGGAGGGGGATGGCGGGGGAGAAGGAGGTAGTACCTGCCTTGTCCTTTCACTTCCCCCAGCCAAAGACACCATTAGAGGACCTGAGCTGAGGGAAGTCACAAATAATGAGAATAAAATAGAGGTTCTTCGTGAGGTGGAAAAAGGAGAGAAAGGGGGGCTGGATGGAGCAGGGAGAAGGGGGACCTGCCAGCCCTGCTGCCCTCAGCACTGTAAAATTGGGGTCTTCCTTTCCTTCCTCTGCAGGACAAAACAAGGAGAGGCCCCCACCCGTGCCCAACCCAGACTATGAGGTAATGGGACAGAGATGGGGGGGAGCCAGGGGAAGTGGGAACAGGGGAGACTGGCATCTCATCCCTCGGGGGTCCCATGGGCCCCCCCTCCTTCATGGCAGATCCAAACCATCTCAAAGGCTTCCAATGCAGGGGAGGTGTGGGGGGAGCGGTGGATGGTCCCCTCTCTGAGGTTTACTCGTTGGCTGAGAGATACAGCCGTGGAAAATACAATACAAGCAAATTCTAACTGGATAGCCTCCAGTTCCACCAGCATGCACTGCTGCCGCGAGCTAGTTATTAAGACGTGAGCACACCTGACTGGTACACATCCCACCCCCACCCCCACCCCGCCCTGCTGCTGCTGCTGCTGCCTCTGATTGGGTAACTGAAGGGTTGATGCTCAGCCTTGGGGAGGTTCACAGACTGTTCTCATGGTTCGTGGGGTGTTAAAGATCCTATCATACCTGAATCCGCTCAGCAAATATGTATTGAGTGCCAGTCAAGCATCTGGTATTTACCTTCCCATGAGTGACTCCATTGAACCCTAACAAGAGTCCCTAGAGATGCAGGTAACCAACCAAGGACCTGCTTAGGCTCGCTCCCCCTTTGAGCGGGAGAACTGAGGCTCACCAAAGGAGCTGACCTGCTCAGTCTCCTAGGCGGCCTTGCCCAGTTACATGTCAAGCCTGCCTCCTGACAGAACCCAGCCCCCTTTGACCAGGCTGCAGCCAGACCCCTAGTGCTTCTGCTCCTCCCGATCCGCTTCCTCCACCCCACTAACCCTCTCTGTTCTACACCCAGCCCATCCGCAAAGGCCAGCGGGACCTGTACTCTGGGCTGAATCAGAGAGGAATCTGATTGCACGGAAGACACGGCCTCCCAGGGCCCGGGTCTGGCCTGGGCACCCTGCTATTTCCTGTCCCCTGGACAAGTCTTGGCTGCCACAAGAGAACTGGTCTTCAGCCTCCTGGTGAACTCACGCCCCACAGCCTTGCCCCTGGCTCCCCTGGCTCCCTCCTTCCTACCTTCTCTGCTGCTGGTGATCAGTTCTAGAACATCGCTGTCTCGCTGTTCCTGGAAACCTCCTGGTGAGGGAGGCCCTCACACCCCACATGCCTTCTTGTCAGGATATTTATGTCCCTGACTCCCTGTCACCTCCCGCCTTCCCTCGTGGATATTATTCCTGCCTCTGTTCCCTCCTTTTCTTGTCTACCATTTGTCCCTCATTTCCTAACACTTCCATGCATATAGCTTTCTGCTTTTCCAGCTGCTTGGGGGGGGGGGGATTTCCTGGATGAATGTTGGCAGAGCTCCTGCCCCGTTCACAGGTCCTGACTCAGAGCCAGGGGAGCCCCCGCAGCGGGCCTTCACGGCAGGCCCGTGGGTGTTATGATGTGCATCACTGCTAATGCACGGGGTTCCCCGCCACTAACAGAGAAAAGCAATAAAGTATATTTGGCTGGCTGGAAGAGTTGCTGTCTTGTCTTTTATGAGCCACAGAGTCTCACTAATGTAGCCCAGCCTGTCCTCAAACTTCCCATCTCCCCTGCCTCGACTTCCAGAATGCTGGAACCATACCTAATTACTGTCCCTCTTTTCTGGAACATTCTCAGAGGCTCGCCTGTTTCCTAAGACCCCTCAGGTTCTCCCCACTTCTGACTAACTTCAGTGCTTGCAGTATAATGCCAAGTGATCTGAAGTTTACCCAGGCAGGAATAATGAGAGAGGGAGAGAGAGAGAGAGAGAGGAAGTTTGACTTAGAGAAAATGGCAGAGAGTGTGACTGCTGGGCCCTTCGTAGAGTTGTCAGTGAGAGAGAAGCAGGCCATGGAAGGCAGGTGGGTCTCAGGAGAGCACAGGGAAGGCGTCAGGGCAGGAGGGGTTTGGGGTTGGCTTCTACCAGCTGTCAGGAAGAGCAGCTGAGCCGAGCTGGGGAAGCGGAGAGAGCCACCATCCCTGCCCTCTCTCACAGCCGGAGGCAGGCTGTGGTTAAGCCGCAGGATGTGGGCTGTGCTGGGAGTGAAGGTAGAGCAGCAGCCAAGGGGCGGTGAACGGGGTGGGAGAGCTCTGTTCTCTGTCTCCCACAGCACCCATTTAGCCTGCAGGGCAAGAGGGGTGGCGGTCAGAGCACCAGGGAGCTGTCCTAGGCTAGCCCAAACCAGCAAGCTAAGCTAGCTTCTCTCCCCACCTGCACGGGGGCTGTTGATGTATATGACAAGGCCTAAAAAGAGCAGCTGTGATGAGCACGGCTCAGCAGCTACTGTTTGTTGGTCCTTGGTGAGGGACTGCTTCTTTCCCTCCCTCTGAGCACCAACACTTATCCTCAGAAGGAGCCACTGCTCAGGGATGGTCCACGGATGGCAGATTTGGTCCCAGGTATTCTCGATAGTTTCCTGCCTGGGGGAGACAGAGCTCTATCGAACAAAAGCAATAATCACTGATGTTTACCACACATCTATTATACTGTAACGTTTGGAGTTAGTCCCTTTCTGTGTTCTTATCTCACTTAATCCTTGCAGTGACTTCACACAATAGATGCTGTCATCGTCGTCTTACACACAAAGATTGTGAGGCCCAGGAAAGCTTAAGTCATTTGCCCAAGTGACAGTAAGGGGTGGCAGGGCTGGAACAGAGAGCGAGGGCTGCCCGATTCCAATGCTGTCAGCCTCTACCCACTACTGAGATCGAGAGGAATGCTCTCCATCCTAGCAGTGTCCTTGGAAAGACAGAGGGGATGGGAGTGGAGATGAAATCAGTGCGGGTTTCCTGGGACAGAGGCAGAGTAATACAGGACTGAGGCAGATGCGGAAGTGAGGAGAAAAGCAAGAGGTGGGGCTGATTCTGGGGATTCAGAAGATAGAAGGGGCGGATGGAAGGACCAAAGCACTGCAGTATAGGATGTAGGGTCTAGATGGAGAGGAGGAATGCAGAAGAGAGGAAAGATTAACCGGAGAGAAGAGAAAAATCAATTTCTACCATTGACCCAGTGGAGTAATAACAATTGAATTCACTCTTCTGCCTTCTAAAAGATGAGACAGGACAGGTTTAAACAATCTTGAAGACACTGGACACTGGGCAACAGTGGGCAGTGATCCCAGAGAGATGGGAAACAACTAAGTTGAACTCTTGGATGATCCCAGTTTATGATCAAGAAAGGGTGCAGCAAGAGAGAACCCAGGCATCATCTATCGATCTCTGAGAGGCAAGCAGGCAGAGATGGGAGGCCCAGGCACCTAGAGTCTGTAGGAGAGAGATGCACAGTGAGGGCTCCACAGAGCTGGAGAGCCTCCCTCCCAAGTCTTCGCCTAGGTAGTGATCACACACAAAGAAGAGGAAACTGCAAGATGACAGAGAAAGAGTCCCTTGAAAGGATGAGAAGGGAAGAATCTTTGGCTCTCAGGCAGGGCTGGAAGTCATTTTTCCCAATCTCACCAGTCAAGGGGCACTGAGCAGAGCTGCGTGCCGGCGTGGGGGCAGGGCCAGCCATGTCTCTGCAGCTTGTTACATGAGGGCACTCGCGAATCCCATTCGTGATGGCTGCAGGTGAGATTTACAATTTCCCCCAAATTTCACATTAGCTTGGCAAAATCTATGTCCAAGAAGTGAAACAAATACACAAACACTGAACATTCCTCCATAGTCAAAGGACAGCTTCTTAACTTGTCATCAAAACCCATCCACCAGAAAACTGCCCCCCTTTCCTTCAGGACCACCTTTGGTGGGGCAATTTGGAGAGACTACAGAGAGGAAAGAGGAGCTGGCAGGAGGTGGCCACCAGAGCAGTCCCAGAATCTTAACAAAAATGCTTAGTCAAGCCAGGAACATTATGCCAAGATTCTTAGCTTCCTGGGAGACAGAAATTGAGAGGATCAAGATGTAAGGCCAGCTTAGGCAAAAAGTTCTGGAGATGCACATCTCAACCAATCAAAAGCTGGATTACAGTAGTGCATGCATGTGGTTGCTTGTTTTCTTTTCTTTTTTTTTTGGGTGGGGGCCGGTGGTAGGGCCTGAACTCTGGGCCTGGGCGCTGTCCCTCAGCTCTTCAGCTCAAGGCTAGCACTCTACCACTTGAGCCACAGCGCCACTTCTGGCTTTTTTCTTTTTGCTTATGTGGTGCTAAGGAATCAAACCCAGGGCCTCATGCATGCAAGGCAAGTGCTCTATCACTGAGCCACCTTCCCAGCCTTGGTTGCTTGTTTTCTAGAGAACCTTAGCATCAAAACCAGACAAAGACAAACTTCAGACCAAAATCTCTTATATATCCCAGGTACAGTGAGTTATATAAATAGGAAGATCAAGCCGGGCACTGGTGGCTCATGCCTGAATCCTAGCTACTCAGGAGGCTGAGATCTGAGGATCTAAGTTCAAAACCAGCCCAGGCAGGATTGGTTTTGATAAACCAATCAAAAACTGGAAGTGACGCTGTGGCAGAAGTGGTAGAGTGCTCAGCTTGAGCTGAAGAGCACAGGGACAGAGCCCAAGCCCAGAGTTCAAACCCCATGATCGACCTAAATAAATAAATAGGAAGATCATGGTCCAAGCCCAAAGCAAAACCCTATGTCAAAATAAAAAACCAAGCACAGTGGCTTAAGCTTGTAATCCTAGCTACTTAAAAGACCCAGATGGGGGTTGTCAGTCATAGCAGCACAGATAAGCACATGTAGTCTCAGTTCAGACTAAACCAATCGTAAAGTGAGACACACTCCCACACCTCAAAATTAACCAACACCAAAAAGGTCTGGAGACATGGCTCAAGTGACAGTGTATACTTAACAAGTGTGAAGGTGATAAATTCAACTCCTCATACCATAAATAAATAATCTTACAAAAGATGTTTATGGTTATTTTAAAAAGTCAGGAGTCCAGCGCTAGTGGTCCATGCCTCTAATCCAAGCTACTCAAAAGGAGGAGATTGAGGATCATGGTTCAAAGCCAGCTCCAGCAGGAAAGTCTATGAGACTCATTGCCAATTAACCACCAGAAAACTGGAAGTGGCTCCATAGCTCAAGTGGTAGAGCGCTACCCTGATTCTCCTAAAGAGAACTACTGGCCTTTCACGAATTCACTGATTGACTATGACGTCTATTGACATTTCCCAAACCCTTACCCAGTCAACGCCAGCTTGGAGACAGAATGTGTTTTAATTAGTGAAATTTAATTTAATTCTGATCCTGGTTTATTATGAAGAAGGCAAGGGCAGGGTGGGAACACATCCTAGGGAAAGAAGATAAATGGAGTCTTTTATACAGGAGAAAGGGGGACAAAGGGCCTGAGGCTGAGACCTGCTCACAGCCTGTGGTAACTGCTCGTAGCTGAGGTGAGCCTGTCACACCCACTCTGTGAGTCTTGGAGAGAACTGAGTCTCAGAGCTCCTAGAGGTGTCGGCCGCTGCCGCCCATGATGTCATGGAAACTGCTTTGTGGCTGGCTTCTAACCATGGCAGCCCGCCCTCAGAGGTAGGGAGGCAGCAAAAAACATGGAAGAGTTGTTATTAGAGGGACTGGAGTTGACAAGTAGCAGAGCAAGGGTGGTGGGAAGATGTCTCACCCAGGAAGCCCACTGGGCTACAAACACCAGTGGGCCAGGATGGACGGGAGACTGCCTCTCACCCAGTCCACACGGAGCAGGGGACTGAAGGGGGTGAAGGAAGAACACAGGCGGGAAGAAAAGGCAGGGTCCCCCATGTCAACACAGTTCCCATCCCTCCCCGGAACCCTGGAAAGTGCAGGCATCTACTGACTGGAGCCGAAAAAAAAGTCTTTATTGGTTGATCTCAGAGGGAAGGCACAGTTGACAATGACGCTTCCAGACACCACCAGGTCCACGGTCACTTTTTCCGGGGCCAGTTTCCTCCAAGATGGCTGTACTGAGCGTCATCGCGGCCTCGGAGGGGCTGCAAGGCGAGGAGGGGGACGGTGAGGCTGGGCCGAGCTCTCGCCAGCCGAGCCCACAGCTGAGAGGTTGTATGTGACATGCGCAGACGTCCAGGGATGCCCCTCCATCCATGGGCACAACACCCACCATCAGCCTCTTCATCCCTGCTCATCCCCCCTCTTAGTTCTGGCCTCCTGCCCTTCAGGGCTCACCTGGTACAAATGGTCATTCCTCAACAGAGCTTGAGTGTCGGCAGCTGGAAGAACTGGGGAGACAGAGTGGTTAGGAGCCGGGTGGATGGGCCTTGAAGACCCATGAACACACCTGGCCATGGCCCCAGAAGTCTGCATGGCTTAGACAGTACACAAATTCTTGTTCACACCTCATAATAGGACCTGAGGACATTGTAAGAGGACTCCTCATCACCATCCCCATTCTTCGGTTGGAGCATAGTACACACACACACACACACACACACACACACACACACAGCCCTTCCACTCACCCCCAGAGACCCTTCCAGTCTCATGTCCTGAAAAGCAGTAGACTCCCAAAGCAAGAAGCAGCGTGGCAATGATGTCAGTGATGATGATGCC